TTTCCACTGACATCAGTGGTAAAATGTCCAAGCTCTTGAGGCATAATCCCACTGCCCTAAAAAGCAGTGTATTTTGATATATAGTTTTTCATCATGAAAACCTTTATTTTTATATAGTTGTACCCAGGTAAGTGTCTGGCTCCAGGCCTTTATTTTAGGCTCTGGGACCTAGGTATACAGTATTAACTGGACTATGCATTTGATATCTACAGGCAGCAACTTGCAAATGAGAATCACACAGCTGTTAATAAGATTCTGTGAAACAATGAATGAGACTCTCAAATAGCTGGGGCCATATGAACCTACTAGACTTAAAGTAATAGGGGCTGCACACTTAAAGGAAACTTGGAATGCTAAGCAATCAGGCAACACAGATGCTGGGCTGTACTTCAAAGTCAGGAAATAAGGACATGCTTTCACAACGGTAGACTGGGAGTATGGAAAATTACCTACAACCAGGAAAATGTGAAACTACTGTTTTCAAGATTGTATTTGTACCAGTTTAATGGACTGTATCTGGTATATATTAAACCGTACTAACCAAGGTTGCTGTAGTTAAGGATCAGTTGGTTTTTTGATTGTAAACACACATTTTTGAGGGGTCTATTGCTCAGCCATTTAAATTCACACCAGGCATGAAGCCTAATATATAAGTAAGCACTATGCAGGGATGCAGTCCCCTTCCCCCTCCCAGGCTTAACGTAAATCAGTTTAGTTGTTTTTAGTTCCAAAAGAATGGTAAGCAAAAAGGCAATTTATTGGGAGGAGGGAAGGTTTGAGTACTTAAAACACATGCACACAGGCCATTTTTTTCCCGTTTGGGAAAAGGGCAGGGCTCAAATCAGATAGATGAGTTACAGACAAGTTCAGTGAGCTAGAAAAACCACTGTTATACTAACCATGTCCTTCAGCTAATTTTTATAACTATTTCCATCATGGATTATTTTCCCTAAAATAATGCTTCCAAAATATTCTCTATTCTGCCTTGGCATATACCCATTCAACATCTGACTTCAGTTGGAGTAGCACACAAATATCCAAACAAGGGATGCAGCCTAATGAGAACATAAAATCCCTAAAATGGCAGTGGCTCTTCACACTTCAAGATTTACATGTTGCACACTACAGGGTTAAACATTAGCTAATGGCTTGTTTACATGTGGAGGGATACTGGAATCATTCTATAGGAATAGCTTATTCCTGAAAACTCCATGTGTGAACCTTCTTATTCTAAAATAAGAGTGCCTCAATGCAGTTTAGCTTTAATCCTCATTCAAAGTAAATTAAACCAAACTGGACAAAGCACTCTTTTTTTCTGGAATAAAAGAATGTAATTACTCAGGAACAGGTATTGCCTTTTAAATTTACACCCTACTGTAATCCAATTTTCAGCTGTATATAAAATGGTGTTTAAAAAGAATTATCTCTGTGTAGGTGGAATATTGTCCAATATTTCATCAAAAGGTTGCAAATGTAATATTTACAAAGGACTGGTTTCATCCTACTCTGAAGGAGTAAATGGGTCAGAAAGATGTCTGGGGAAAGCTGTGTGTAGGGATGGCTGAAAGTCAGGTGGCTTTTTAGTGTCTCTCACTCTTATAACAAAAAATATTTTTCTGCTTTTATTTATGATCAGATAAAAAGTCCCTTTGTAGTACATTATGGTGCTGCTACTTAAAAAGGGAAATTGAAATAAAAGATATACTTAAATAACACTAAACATACAAAATCAAGGAGTAGAGAGTTAATGCTGACTTGCCCTACTTCACCCATCTCTTGTACTAAGCACTGTATGGGTGTGATACATAAGAACTCACAGTTTTAAGGTCTCTGAAGATGGATATGAATTGTGACTCACGTGGGTACCCTTGACTTAAAATGTCTTTTCTTCCAGTGGTTTACTTTAGACCAGACCCAGTATTCTCAGTTACGTACGCTATATATACACCAACTACTGTACATTTTACGCTAGTATGCTATTTTATAGTTAGATGTTACAAGGGAATTGAAATGCAACATGGATTTCATGTGCCTTAATTTACATTTGCATATGGATTTCATGTGCCTTAATTTACATTTGCATATCTTCCATTTTCAGCAGAAAAAGCTAGCAACAAATATGAATAACTTGTAATTTCAGTTCCTTTAAACATAATTCACAGACTATATGGTTGATGCAAATTATTAACACATAATAGGTGAAATCTTGGCTCCTTTGAAGCTGATGAGATTTTGCCATTGATTTTAGTGGAGCCAGGATTTCATCCATCGTCTGTTTCTGTTTCAAAAAGCTCGGCATTTTGTTCAATTGAGTCAATTAAGATGGAACTAAGTTTAACGGTGGTTCCCTTTAATTCTAAAACTATCTAAAGAAACTCAGTGAAAGAAGGTGCAGTAAATAGAGCACATGCACACCTAATTTCTGATCACAGGAACACATCCAGTACCACCTGCTGTAATAATTGTACTCTTCCTATATTATTTTCCTCCTTCATCCTTTGTGTCATGTTTGAAATTCAGATTATAGGCTTTCTTAGGCAAGGACTAAATCTTATGTGAAATGCCTACCAAACTTGGAGGTGCTATAAAAAATTATGACACAGAGTACTGAAATCAACGGGATTGATATGAAATAAATTTAAACAATAAGACTTTCAGATATTCCTCACATCAGACTCAGCCTGTTGGTTATTTGTGTTTTTATTACTCTCATTTAAATTTAAGAGTCTTTTTGCTTTTTTTAAAGCTGTCACTGGCATATCATACTTGGTTTTGAAATGTTACACAGAGCTAACTTGGAAAATCTTCTGCACCAATAAAGCCATATGTTTAAAATCACCCACCATAAATAGAATGCTGAATTTAAAGGAAGTGTTTCCCAAATAATTTAAGCCTGCATCCTGTAAACACTCATACGCATTACTTATGTCAGTAATCTGTCCAAAATAAATGTGATTATTTGGATGATGGAAGTTAATCAAGTAAGTGTTTGGGCAGAATTGAGCCTTTATACAGGATGCGAAGCTAAATAACAATAAATGGCAACCAGTTAACACAGTGAGAAATTTTAAAATATATTGAAAGAGAAACATGTATACATCAGGATGTCATTCTAAGGCAGCTTTGTGTCAAGGGTGTTCCTAAAATCAGAGCATGAATGCAATTGATCGGAGTGATTCTTTCAGCCATGTAAGCAAAATCCTATGCTTTTTTAAATTAATTAAAAACCTCTCAAAATTATATACACACTACTCAAATGCATGTGGATTTCTGTGATGCTTCAATGACTTCTTTATTTATATACGTTCAGAACCTAGACAAAACTATTTTACTACTGCACTACATGTATTTTTGCAGTTGGTAAGTAATGTTTTATGACAGTAATTTTAAAATGCCACTTATAGTGGATGAAAAAATGGATTTCAACTATAAAATACGTATTTTATGTGAAAGATGGTTTTGATTACAGATTTCTTGAAACATATTATATGATGTGGTAATTTTTCTTACCCTTCCTTTAAAAAATGTATCATTCTTTCCAAAAAAATACTCTGCGCAATATTCTGTGGATGTTACTAATTACAGTATATTATTAAGAAATTTTAAAAAGAAAATGTCAAATATAACAAGAGCAAAGACCATTTCATTGTAAGCAAAATATATTATATTTCTGTTGCTTGCCAAAAGAACCAAATGTGGATAATGCAATACTATCCATGTATGGGGGAAAAGGATAAATGTAATGCTTTTAAAAATATTACTGTCATCTCCAAATACAATGATGTGTACAGATGTTATGTCTGTATGTTCTACGTTTGCAAGTGGTGGTTCTAACCAGCTGTACATACGATCAGAAATACATATTTTTTCAGGAAACCAGCCTAATTTATAACATTCAGTTTGAACCAAGCAATACTTTAATGCTTTGCCTTCAACTTACTCATTAGTTTCAGCTTCCTATGGCTAAACATAATAGCATAATGGTTTCTGTAAGTTGTTATTTTAATCCTATATGCATCCATGATGCATGCATTTATTATTACAAAAATTTGCAGAACTGCCAACATTACTGTTGAAAACAGCATGTACATAGTTCTTTTTTTCCTTGGGAACTGACCTTTGCTACCCATGCATAACTACAGATCTTAAAAGATATTTTTGCTTCAGATGTTTCTGCTGTCTGTTCCACAAAGCAGCAAGGTATGGATGCACTCCTGTTTTCGTTTTATGGCGTGCAACCCCCTGTATAGTTACCAAAGGCACACTGTATTTCCGCAGTAACTAATGATTTTGTGCTATTTGGCCTTGAACATCAGTCTTGGCCCATGAAAATCAATGCTCCCTTTCCTCTAAACTAAATGGCTCTTCAAAACATTTTCTGTCCAGAGTCTACATCACATTTCGTCCCCTTGCCTTGCTAACTTGGAGGCAGCTTTGCCAGGCACCCTGGTGACTGCCTACATGTGACTGGGACATGTTTACTTCCTTTCTGGCAAAAATGTAGGTAAATCCAAGGCAGCACTAAAACTGAGGAAATCCTGAGAGAGAGAGTGATGCCATGAAAATCTGGCATCCTTTGCTCATTTCTTTCCTGTTTGTCTACATCCTAATTAGGAGAGCGCTGCTGACTCCTAAGCCAGCCCGTATCAAAGAGCTTCTCCCCCTTCCCGCGTGCAGCGGAGCCTTTGGTCCGCGCCGGTGCGGAGGAGCCGGCGCTGGTCCCTCGGGCTCGCCACGCGGGGCCCCCGGCGCCCGGCTGGAGCCGGGCCGGGCCCGGGAGGCGGCTGAGCCGCGGGCCTGCAGCACAGCGCAGCGTCCGCTTGTCCCCGGAGCCCCAGCCTCGCCGGGGTGCCCGGTGTGGGACGGGCGGAGGGGAGCGGGCTCCCCGGGGCAGTGCTTCGCCTCCACCATCATCCCCGCAGCCTCCAGCCGTGCCCGCTCCCCCGCGCTGGCGCGGAACGTCCCAGGGCAGCGGCGAAAGCGGCAGTCAGTCGACTTACTTGGTTGCGGCGCCCGGCCCCGCCCGGCCACTTTTTAGGCAGCGAAGCGCTTATCGCCACGGCTCTTCGCTCGCCACCCCCGACGGCGCGAGGGAGCGGGGGTCGCTAACGGCCGCCGCGGAGCAGCAGCCAAAGGTTCAGGAGAAAGGCACGGGGCCGGCGGGCGGGCGGTCCGCGGGGAGCCCGCTCCCGCTCTCCCTCCCCTCGGGAAAGCCCGTGGGACCGGCGCATTGTTTGCTCCTCGCCATTTTATTTTATTTTTTGATTTGTAAGAAAACGCCAAAAAATGTAAATATCATCTCTACGGGGGGGGGGGGGGGGGGGGGGGGGGGGGCGCACTCCTATTGATCTCTCAGCTGGTTTCTCTCGGCCCCTGGTCCTTCCCCTGCCAGCGGCGGAGATTCCTAGTGTCACAGCGCAGCCTAGCGGGCAGCCCCCGCACCCCAGCCCCCGCCTCGGCCGCCTCCAGCCCGCGCTCTGTCGCCGCACCCCAAGAAGTATCGGCAGCCCACAGGACGCGGATGACCTTAGCGCCTCTCGTCCATAATCTGCATATTTATTCCTCTCTGCCTTCCCTCCAATAAAAAGATAGGATCTCCATAAACCAAGTCCCCATGACCCATATTTAGTTGGAGTGCAGGGTGTTTTTTTTTTCTTTCCTGGATCCTCTTTTAAACCCCACTCCACACTGTTCCTCTGTCTATTACATGCTAATTTAATTTTACTATGGACGATATTTTCAGCATTTGCTGAGGACAGTAAATTTTGTAGTTTATGTTATTTCACTTTTTATGACTTTTTAACACTTAATAAAATTTTATTAGAGCACTTTTGTGTTTACAAGGCCACAAAACTCTTGGCAGGTTGTCAGAAGTCCTTTTTATTATGATCCTATTGATATACTGCGAGTAATGAAATAATCATGTCCAGAAATGTATCAAAGGCCAGAGGGATTATCCAATTTAATAGCTCTACAGATGCGCTGTGAAGGATAGGAAAGGCAACGCGTCGACAGGCTAAAAGGCTTGGTGGAAGGAGGAGGCAGACCTGGTTAATTTCTTTACCGTTTCAAGCTAGTTCTGTTGCTATCCTAAAGGCTAGATGCTTGGTCATGTGACTCCTGGCTCTTTCAATAAAAATGAATTTATCCTGTTGCAAAATGCTGTTTTCTTTTTATTCTTCTTAGGTGTGCATTTAATGCTGGTGTGCTTGCTCCATCTTTCTACTGCTTGCATCCTTCATTAAAAATACCATTTATTGAAAAATCCACTTTTATAGTACCATTTGCAGCTAACAGTGCTTTTAGTGTTAGGATCTGCTCCTGCCGCTGCTGCTGAAAAAAACAAGAGAATATGATACAGAGATCCAATACAGAGCAAGATGTCTTGCTGTAGTCTCTGAAATGATTGCTTTTTGTTTTTGTTTTTGAATGGGTACAGTTGCTGGAGAACTCTGATTTGTGTATGTGTCTGAGTATCACAATGGGCTGTTTTTCTGCACTGCTCTCAGTACTATAGCCTGAGATACTGCAGCTGTTTTTAAGGTCATTTCCTTTTATTTTAAATAATTGTTCATTTAACATATGTTGTTAAACTCATTCTTGCGTCAAAAGGAGGCGATTATACTTCCTGACCCTGAAAGCAAGGTGGGTGGCTTTGTTTTATAATTAAATTTGCTGTGTTCAATTTCATATTTTTCTTTCTCTGCTGTTTCCTAAAGAGCATGCCAAATAAGATAAAAGGGACCAGCAGCACAAGAAACACTTAAATGCCCGTGTTGTCTCTCTAACACACACTGCTCTAAACTTTTTGCTTCACAGGGACACCAGCAAGGTATTTTTCATAATTTCAGAATTAATTGTTTTATTCCCTTTAGGTTTAAATAGCCCCTTGAAAGCCTGGAGCTAAAATGTATTACATATTAAAATGTACAGCATTTTTTTTTCTAGCACAAACATATTTATGCTATTCCAAGTTAGTTCATGATACTGTCAGTTAACAGGATTTTTTTTAATGCCTAAATCATTTGTTTCAAAAATATATTTTGATGATTGACATGATTTTGTAAGCCATTGTGAGCAGAGGGGATCAAAGGGTTTATGTTACCATAACAGCAGTAAGAGGTGAAATTCTGATACCTTTATTCATATTGTGTGATTCCTTACTCTTGCAGCAGAGCTTCTGAAATCAATGGGGCTTCTGGAAGAGTTAAACTACTCAGTAAATATATCAACCTGCCCCAGTATATGTAAAATAAATCATCTAATACAGTTTTGCTTCAAGACAGTTCAGTTTTCCCAGAACAATATCATCTACTGTAAATCATTTGTTTGCAGGTCAAGGTCAAATTAAACTTTTAAACCTTTAACAACCATCAAATTGGAAACCTGCAGTATGGAATGATGTGGTGAAAGGCATGATGGACTGGGAACTCTTAGACTTACAACAGAAGTTTTCAGCTTTTCATTGAAACAGACAGATTCTAAGAAAAGCTCATTGAGTATAAAGGTGTAAACTAGATAGAAATGATTTAAGTGATGAAGCATCTAACTGATTTAACCCTTTCCTAGTGTCTTGGATTTTCTTCTGAAATCCCACAAAATGACTGATGAAGCAAATATGGAGTCCCATCATCACAGACAGAAAGGAAATGGAGGGTAAGCAATTCAGTGACAGTTCAACCTATGTGATCCCCAGGTGATGTTGGAAATGGGTGAACAGGACTTTGAAATGCCATGACTGGAAAAGGGATGGCTTCAGTGGAATAACTCAAGACTGAAGCATGACCCTGGAACCTTCAGACGACCCCATGCTCACCTAGGATGAATACCAACCGAGTAAAAGGCCTCTTATCACCACTTCCAGTGTCACAGCAAGTAAGGCCAGGTCAGCAAAAAATCATGGACGTGGAATTCCCGCTGATGTCAGCAGGAGAGCCCTGCACAAGGGTCAATCCCGAGGCATTTTAGCATTTACATTTTGCAAACAATAGCTTGTTATATGTTCATGGTAAGATGCTATCCTTTTCCTTTTAATAGCATACCAAATCCAGGTCTTCTGGTAAAAGTCTACAAGCTCCTAGCCCATAGTGCGTTATTCAGGCATTTGATACTATGCTGGGCATAGAAGAGATAGATATTAATCATTTTAATGGCTCATATCCTAGTCCCATTGAATTCAGTGGGACAAAGATTATTGCAATTAACAATTAGATATTAATATTAATTGCCATAAAACTATTAGACTAAATAATGACAGTTGGTTAAACAGTTGATCATATACATATTTACATGTACTTCCATGGTGACTTCTTTCTTTTAACAATTGTAAAAATAATAAACTAAGAAAATCAATCCACAAATCTATGATTAAGTAAGATAGCATGTTTTTCAAGAGTTACTTGGGATTTAGCCGCAAAATGTTTATTGATTGTAATGGGTATGGTGTGACTGAATCATAGTCAGCTCTTTGAAAACATATTGGTTGAGAATGATGATAAACCCACAAAATCAAGTATGTAAACTTAAAATCAAGTATATAATAGCTGATGTATACCTGTTACAAGTGAGTCAAGATAACTAGGGAATGTGTGCAATATGTAGGCCGCAGAAAGCAAACTGGGCTTTAGATTTATTGTTCAGGGCTTTATCACAAAATTGCTGGTATTAGTGTTAGACTTTAGATCTCGGTTTTAGGGCTGGCATTTTTTCCCCTCAAGTAGCTTATTTGCTGACAAATGCCATTTTAGTTGACCCAATCTTTAGCGCACTGTTTTGTGCAAAGAAAAAATGGGGGGAAAAAAATCAGGGACTTAGTGTTATTCATAAAACCAATGGGGAAGAAAGGCTGGCTCCAAATACATTGCAGGTCAAAGCTGAGATACTATCTGTGGAATGTGAAAAAACAGTGGTTAAAAGCCCCCTCTGCCAGATTCAGTTCAAGGACTGCATTTCCAGGTCTCCCACTTCCCAAGTGACTGCCCAAACCCTGGGGTAAGGAACGTTTTAGAGTGTCTCTCTCTCTCTATGGGAACATTTCTGATTGAAAGTATGCTTCTTTATATGCTAATCATTGGGCTAGGAGAGACAGAGAAACTGTGTATCACAATGTTTTAATCTAGCCGTTTGGTTTTTTTTTAAAAAAACGTGAAAATGTTATTTTTAATCCACCAAAAATGGTGGGGAGGGGGTCTTAAGAGTTTGTGTAAACCGTATTTTTGTTGTTGTTGTTTAGTTTTGCCACCAAATTGAGAAACCACTCTCACACACACAGCCCTGGTCTTTTTCCTTCCTGCCCCCTCATCCCCATATGGAGATAGAACTTGAAGTTGATATACTAGGACAAAATGCATACAGAAAGTGACAACATGCATCTAAAAATATGTAGTAACAAGCTAGTGTAAGGTCTAGATGTATAGTTTAATGCATACATGCCAATCAACTAGTGCTAGCTGCATACCATTTGTCAAAAACAAACATGTAGAAGTACTGTATAAAAACTTTTCTGAGAAGAGAGTCAAATACGTGAAATTAGATGGGGAATGAGCCATAGACTTTTAATAGCTATAGACTATGTAATCAATTAAGCATTTAACACTACTATGGTTTCTTGGATTTTTTTCTGAACCTCCAGTTTAAGGTAGGAGTAAACACTCCCAGTCTTCCCTGATGAATGGGCTTGGGCAAAGTCCCAGTTATCCCTCATAAGCAGTAAATAGTAGCTCAGTCTGTGGGTTTTCTTGCTAAGAGATAGCTTCTCTGACTCTCAAGGTAGAGGTTGCAATTTACTTTTTGCCTGGGGATATGGTTATCATTTATAATCTAATGTAGTTTGAGTCTGATACTCCTGTATATTCTTAAGACAAGCAATGCTTCTAATAACTAGTTTTGCTTGTTTATTATTTCAGCCTGGCTCCACTTTTCATTCCTTTATTTGTACTATATATAGCCCATTGCTAGTTTTCAGCAAAAAGCTAACTTTTATTTACAGTCTGTTTCCCACTAGTTTATGGAGACCACTTTATTTATGGTAACAGTAGTACTAGACCACAGGGAGGAACAGAGTCTAATATGATCGCCTTGGAAGCACACCACTCAGTTACTACAGAGATCCAAAGGGGCTATCTTTAGCTCTAGGAAGTGTAAACAATTACAATAAAATATGTGTAATTTCAGCGCCTTCTTCTACCCTGTATTGAAAAGTTCTATTAAATTGCTTTCTTCATCCAACTGATAAGTTAGGGATTAGGGGTTGTCAAAATACTGCTTAATAGGTGCTTCTATGCTCACAAAGTCCTGTATGGAAACTCTGTAGACATGGCAGGTAAATAAAAGTAAAGGGCAAGTCCTTATTCATGACAGCCCCTGGGACAGTCAGGTAACAGTATCAATCCCTGAGTTGCTTAGGCAAACTGCCCATGGCTGAAGAGACAGGGACAGAGTTGGTAATGTAGGCCATGGGATATCTGAACTCCTCAGCCTTGAATGCATTTATCCTTACACCCCCTGTCAGGTAAAAAAATGCTTTAATCCAGAGCTGCCCAAGTGGCTGGAGGCCTCACATCACACAGTTTGCACCAGCAGTGACCACTTGCCCTGGGGACTGCACTAGTGTGAGCCACGGCCCTCTGGGCTACTCCCCCACCCAACCCATTGCACCACATGTGGGCAGCCCCACCCCCTGCACTGCTACTTGTGCACAGGTGGGGCCTACTTCAGGTAGTGTAGTATCATAGAAAAGGAGGATAGTACAGATAATCCTCTATATAGCCTTCTGCCCCAAGGGAACTTGATAAGAAAGGTGCACTCAAAGAGTGTGAATTAAAACTGCTCATATTACGCTCAGTGCATAAGAATACTGGACAATACTGGAGCCACAAATTCCCTTAGCTCTATAGGCTGGGAGCAGGAAACAAAAGCCGAAGGAGGGAGGGGAAGCTTTGAGACTGACTAGAGCAGCAGGCAGAGCAATAGGGGGAGCGGTGGCTGGGTGGGTGCCCAGGGACCACACATTAAACCCTCCCATGCTGCCAGGTGGACAGTTCGGCTTTAATCTATGTTACAGTGAGTGAACCAAGGCATGGAGGGCTGGATTTCCAGAGATATTTAGGTCTCTAAAGAAGCAAATGTGTGCTTTTAAAAATCTTACTAGATGCCTAATTATCAGCGAATCCCACAAGGCACCTGTCTGCTTCTTCAGTCTAAATGCCTAGAGCACTTTGGAGGCCTCTAGTGAAGCAGGAGCTGAACCCAGATTTTCCACATCCCTAACTAGCACACTAAATCCTAGACCATCTTTTCTTTCTGTGTGAAATAGGGGTGCAGTCTCCCATAGCAAGCTGCCTTCATCTCCTGCACAGGATGCATTGCTGGGATAAGCCCAAGCTTATGTAAAGCACTGGGTTGTGTGCAGGAGGGTAATGCCAGCCTGCCATCTATTTCACACCTTGCCTCATACTTATGTGGATGCCAGTAATAACCACAGCAGTTGTATTAAGTATGCAAATGGTAAAGCATGGACTAATGCAATGCAATTGCCAGGCCTGTGTAGAAAATTATCTTCTGACTAAGGTAGTGTTATGCCTAAACCAGAAACAGTACTGTGACTTCAAGTATAGTATAGTATCTGGACTACCTATCTTGCCTTGTCACTGTGGTTTTGGTTAAGGCATATGTTGTCCAGTATTCTTATGCAATGAAGAATACAAGCAATTTTAGTGCACCTTTCTTATTAAATTTCCTTGGGGCAGAAGGCTATACACAGGATTATTTATACTATGCTCTTTTTCTATGATTCTACACTGTCTTCATAGTTTGTCTGTCAGTCTCTCACACCCCCCTCACTGGTCTTAAGGGATAAGGAGAGGCATATCCAATGTTCCTTATACTCTTTTTCTACATCTTGATCTGTTGCTAAGTGCTGCTTTCCTGATGCAGGCTACTGACTTTGGTGTGGTAAACCTCAGGACCATAGCACCTGATAGAATTACACTAGCTAAAATAACCAATCACAGTTGATATAATGTTTGCCATAGGATTTTAAAACTCTGTAATGTCAACAAAATTTTCCTCAAACATACCTGTACATAATACCACATAATAATCATGATAATTTTAAAAGCATAAAAATAAATGTGAAATGTACTACACCGAACGGAAGCTCTGTCTTGGGGTTCTGTGACAAACATACCTAGAATAATAGTCAGCTTGATAGAAGAATAATGGGTGGTAATAAGGAAAACCCAGCATGATTTCAGAGGTTGACTTGATTCAAAGAAGCTGCCATAAGCTTACATGCAGACTGAATTATTACCCAGACTTTGATGCTGGCCATAGAGTACAGTCATCACTAGATCCCAGGTCCTTCCTGCAGTTGCCTTTACCTCAGGCTTCTGTCTCTGAGAGATCAAACCTTTCCCGTCTTACTACTCTCTTCTCCTCTTTCCCACACCTGCAACTCCTTTTCTTATTAAAAGAAAACTGAAATCTGTATGCTTCAATTGGGTTGCACTGCAGCAGAATCCCCACCCCTGTCTTCCCTCCCCCACCACAGTTGCTTTCTTGGGGGAAGAAGCTCGAGCTTTCTCATGTTAAGGCTTTTTGCTAGTTCCCAAATGCTTTATCCAAATACCCAGTCTTGGGCTTAAACAACTCCATTTTGTGCAGGTTGTCCAACATAGCAGAGGAGATTCTAGGGTTATTAGACACTATGCTAAACCCCACACTCAGTCCGCACACACACAGACAAAAAATCAACACATCCCCCCAACCCCCCCCCACAAAAAAGAAAAAACAAACAACAAAAACCCAAGAAAGACAAACTGATAGGGCATGGTTTGGTGTTTGCAGGAGGCTGTTACATAGGGGGTCATACTGGA